TCATGATTACTTATATATCTAACCGTTTCCATTGAAAAATGTAAATATTTCAACAGTCATGTCTTGGTATTTTTTAAATGAAAAGATCCAATTTTGTTGATGTTGTATACCTAGAATAAAAGGACCAAATTCAGAAGCAACACTCTTTATTTTTAATTTTGAATAAATTGAAATTTGTTTGGTTTAAATTTTCCCCTTGTCGTTTGGAATTTTTTCGTTAGCAGCATAATTTGGAATCGCATGTTACTACTGACCAAATCAATTAATTGTATAAATTTTTTACATAGTCTTACTGGATTGTTATACAGATATGATTCATTGAGATAAGACCCCGGAACACATGCTTACACATTCGTCATTATTTCATTTTTAATTGTTAATCTTAATCTAAACAAGATTTTAAACACTATGTCTACAAAGTAGTTCAAATAGCTTACACATGTCCGTGACAATGTGTTTTAATATTATCACTTTCTCAGAATTACTTTGGTATTTATTTGAATTTGTCTGTGTACTGTGCAAATCACTTTCTCAATGATTGAAGGTCAGATAAACACCTATCTTGATAGCAATTTAAATATGACGCCATATTTTTTTTGTTGGTAAAAATGGGAATTTCCCTTTACTGCCCAACGTTTAACAAATATCTAATCTTCATTGAAATTTTGAAGGAGTTATTATCAACAGAAAAGAAAAAAATTGTTCGCATGGGGTTGTTTTATTGATCGTAAATCGTTTTCCTGCACTTACCCAGACACCGTAATATACAGGATCAATAATTATATTTTCCACCGGGTAACTTCCAGCTTGTCATTTTTAAAATTATTTTCAGACATGAGCCAACAAATCTATTATTGGTGGACTTGATAAAATGTTATGGATATACAAAAACAATGTGAAGTTTAAAGTTCGTATCAGTTACCATGTCTGTGTAAGATATCCCTAATTTAGAATTTATGTTTTTGTGACAACACTGTGATAGTATTGTAAAACCTATTTGAGAGTAATAGAAACAATATTTGTTCATAATTTACAAAAGTTTGAAAAAATACCCGGCATTGACAACACAATAGTACAAATTTACAATATTTTACACTACATATCATTTATGACATATACTTCACAGCTTACATAAAACATGTCCACTAATTTCCTCACAAAACACTAATACATAATATATGAAAGTTCCGTCAAATTCGTCTCAAAAACAACTCATCTGGGGTAGACATTTCATAACATTGACAGTTATAGGTTATGATATATAAATAAGAATTAGACTAGCCACTAGAAATTATATGATACTTATAACTAAAATTTTTAAAAAAGGCAAAATATGACCTGTAAGTAACGTGGGTTGGGAATGCAAGGGGGTTGTTATCCATAAATGTAAAATTCACAATAGGAAAATTTAAAACATCAAGCTTATCATACAGTTTAATGGGAAGCTGTCCGTGTTGGTTTTGTTGTAGATAAAGATAGAGATAAGCGACTGATGTAGAAGAGTCCGTTGTGTCCTTAATTTCCAGTTGCGGTGGGTTTATACGATTGGCAAAATAAAAGTTGTGTCCAATAGAGAAAAACAAATCAGTAAACTCCATCATACATCTGTTTTCTCTCCTTCTTGGGTCTCGTGAGTGACGCTAGGAGCCTAATTATTGAAGCCAAGATGTTAAAAAGAAGTAAAAAAAATCTAGATGAAGAGGTGCATAGGCCGACTTACCCGTCAAAACTAACAAGAAACATGTCAACATAATCACAATCCAACCTCAAATTAAAAAAACAACAACAAGGGCAGAATATGAGCAAAAGGAGAATAAGACCAGGTGTATCGGAAGAGTATTCGTCTTATGCTTCTGCAAAACACTAAGCAATATCTAATGCTTATCAAACATACAAAATACAAATAAGCACTGCATACAATATATAAGCGAACTTGACACTTTTCATCACATAATCAGCCTGTTATCTTGTGAATTCGCCTATTTAGAATCTTTTCATATGCCATTAGTGTAAATATAGCTTTTGTTATTTTCTTTAAAATGTTCTTTTGCGTACATTGCTGTTCATTTACATTAGGATTAGTACATAAAGCGCATAAGTTCAATACGTCCCTGCTCAAATATTAGTATATTTCGATGCAGTACAGAAAATAAATAACAACTTTTATACTTACATTTTTATCAACTATTTTAAAACAAGTTACCTTATCACATATCGTTATAACCTGTATAAGTAATGACAAGACAATATACTCTTTCTTATGCAAGTCCAATATCTATGCTAAAGTATCGATCAAAACAAACAATGGTGCAGGCGAATTTCATCTAGAGACTGTAGAACTCTCTCTCTCTCTCTCTCTCTCTCTCTCTCTCTCTCTATATATATATATATATATATATATCAAAAATGTCTTATCTTCAACAGGAAGAGACATTTTCTTTGTGGTCAAAAATTTTCTTTGAAATATTAGATTAGATATTGATATATAGGCCCTAAGTGCACATATTGACAGGTCCAAGAAGGACAAACCATCTGTATTCAGTTCCCATGTCTGTTCTATGACCACGGAAGAAGATGAAATTTTGAACCACTAAGGAAGTGTCTCCTCCTGGTAAGAATAAAAATATCATTTTTTTTATCTTTAAAGGTATTAAAATTGAATACTTCAAAAATGTCTTATCTTCAACAGGAAGAGACATTTTCTTTGTGGTCAAAAATTTTCTTTGAAATATTAGATTAGATATTGATATTTAGGCCCTAAGTGCACATATTGACAGGTCCAAGAAGGACAAACCATCTGTATTCAGTTCCCATGTCTGTTCTATAACCACGGAAGAAGATGAAATTTTGAACCACTAAGGAAGTGTCTCCTCCTGGTAAGAATAAAAATATCATTTTTTTTATCTTTAAAGGTATTAAAATTGAATGCTTCAAAAATGTCTTATCTTCAACAGGAAGAGACATTTTCTTTGTGGTCAAAAATTTTCTTTGAAATATTAGATTAGATATTGATAATTAGGCCCTAAGTGCACATATTGACAGGTCCTAGAAGGACAAACCATCTGTATTCAGTTGCAATAAATCATTTGGTTCTACTGTACCTTATTCGATATTTCTATTGAAGGGGGTTTATTTTGCACAATCCTTTGAAATAGCAGTAATTGGACTGTGCAGGTGGACTTGGTGTCATCGACAAGTCCCAGGTCGACGAATCAGCGGTAAGGAACAGTTATTTTCATTATTTTGCCTGACTGTTTATAAATTGTAAATTCGTGTTATAACGGGAGTGTATTTCTTTTGTACAATCCTTTGTAAACCCAGTTCTGTATTAATGTTTTGGCAACAGTGTAAAAGGAAGTAGTACTAATCTTGGACATCATCCAGAAAAAGACATATAAATTTATTTTGGGATGTGATTGTTTTTACGCGTTTGTGTGATATACTTCGTTGATATCAAAGTGACTCTATACAAACACTTTAATGTATAAAAGTAACGAACAAAATACCGACATATCATCAAAGTACAAGGGGAATAAGACCAGGTTTTGTTCTGTTAAAGTATTTTGTAATTTTATTCCTTAGAACTGATGTTGATATTAAAAACTGATTGACTTGACACAGGCATAGTTTTCCAACTTCCATTCAAACTAGTATGTCGTATGTACATCAAGGTAGGTTTATCTGTTTTTGCATTGTTTTCATCATCATTTACATAAATGATGTCATAAATGATTTTTTTATTATTATCTAGACTAAGCATGTTATTAAAAATGAAAAATCAAATCCGGAACACGTCTGCCCCTATTCTCCAAACCGTTCTCATGATTTCGCTCGTTTATTCTTAACTTTAAAGTCATATTCACTTAAATTATAAATCTTAAATTTTTGAGGTACCTTGTGACAGAGCACATATTGAAACTAATTTTAAGTTGATAAATATTGTTGAAAAGATCTGGTTTTAGAAATTTTAATATCTATACTATTTTCCCCTTAAACTATCTGTATACCAATATATCAAACAAAAGTTAATGAAAAAAATTACTAATGTTTCAGGAAGATAGTAAAATAAGAATTTATGAAAAGGGCAGTACAAAAACATGTCATTGATGCATGTTTTGACGTATGATCAGTTCGCTGAATGCACTGGCCCTTTGGCACTTATTAATATGAAAGACGAAAATTTCAATGTATATTTTATAATGCCATTCAGTACTACAAACATATAAACTTGAACAGAAATCTAGGTGCGGATGGCTTGTGTGCAAAGTGCAGCACGTTTGGGAAATTATATTTTGTCATTATATATTTACCAAAATTGCATGATATAACTCCAGTTTTAGAGAAAAATATTCAAGACATGTCATTGCACTTTTTACGTGATTGTTGTGTGTTCTCCGAGGTGTCTCGCCTTACATTTCAGTAACTTCTTTTGATAAAAGGTTGCTATCATCGACATTGGAATGCTTTAGTAATTTAATTGCTCACTTTCTCTTTCTGGAAATAATCTTGTGTACATGTATCTTAAAATATGTTAATATCTTTTTCATTTATTTGTAACTCTTCATCTTTTGGAGGAATATTGAATGAGATATTTTGTTTTATTTCCACAAAAGTCATACAGACCTTCCAGTGATGTATATATATATATTAGCGACAGACACATAAAATTAAGTTATACAGATAAAACATTATTTTGCTCAATATTCATCACAGATAATTACAATAGAAGTCATCCCACTACCTCAAGGTGCGATATTTACATAAGAATAACAATACTCTACACATCATACATACTACAATAGTTACCTATATTTTGACATTAATGGAAGGTGATGTGTTTACATGATGTTGCCGTGATACATAATATGCTGTGATGCATGTAGAAAACAATAACGACAAACAAAGTAAAGACACTATATACAATTTCTAATGACTAGACTAAAACACACGTATTTATACATATTTATATATGTCTTCACATATCAAACTCTCTCACGGCCTCAGCTCTCTTGTCCTCATTTCCTTAAAAGGAATCAGCGACTTTCTAAAACAGACACTTTAGTTTTCATGGTTGAAGACAAATAAAAGACAACTTAGATTTTGACCGCCTCTGTAAACTTTCATATCGTGCTCTTCGGGTTGAATCCACTTTAAATATAGACAAATATCTCAAGTTCGGTATACTAGCACGTTTTGTGTGTTTACAAAAGCACTTTTCAGAGCCTACTTATATTTATAGCTTAGAGCAACAGTTGTGAGATTTCTGTGACGGTTTGCGTCTTTTCCATCCTCAATACCAGATTCACAAGTCTGTCTTGAGATTCTTTGTTAAGAAAATCCGTATTTTTTCGGAATTTCTTAACGACGTCGGCATCTGATAACGGTTTTCTCCAATGTCCATACGGTTCGGTACACGTGCTTTCAAATGTCACGTTGTCCTTCGTCACGACACGAACAGTTACGTACATGTTGTCAAACGATGGTGTGTTGTCATCAGGCGTAATGACACTAACTTTTCTGAGAAGACTGTGTAGCTGTTGCCGCCTTATGTTGTTGAAGTGGAACGTTTCTGGTGCAACTTCGCCATCCAACAAAGCAGAGCATGTAGTAAACTGGAAAGAATGCCGAGCCTCGTGTTCGGTTGTGGGTATTGGTCGGTTGATGTACTTGGAACCAGGAACGATAATGTGTACGTTTCTGATAAAATCGACGTGTAAACCACCCAAATGGCATACAAGCTGAGCTCTCACGTCCATTGCCGCATCAATAGCCCAGTGCATCCCCAGATGGCACGGGTATCGCTTAAGTGCAATATCCTGATGATGCAGAATGACGTCATTTGTTTCTGTGAGCATGTCTAGAAGTTTCTCAGGGTTGTAGTCCTCGTAGAATGCCCCAAAGCCAGAATCCATATCTAAAATATTTTCGTTTCCCTCGATACCATTCTCAGCTAATATAGCTGCCTCAAGTCCAAAGCGAGCTGACTTCCCAGAATGCAATGGTTTTGTTGTGGTACCGGCATTCGCCATAGGAGCTCCAGCGAATGAAGAGGCAATAGCTAACGCATGACGACATTTCTGAGGACCATGACCCAACAATCTGGAGCAGGCGGCAGCGCTTCCCATAACTCCCACTATCGCTGGTGGATGGAGACTGTAACACAAAGGAACACAAGGTTTAAAACACATGATACTTGTGTTGTATCGCTTTACCGCTCTAAAATACCCTACAAAGAAATTAGTTTGATTCATAAATTTAATTTGTTTTCGAAGGCTTTAAGAACTAGGTCAATATAATATATACTACAACGAATTTAAGTTTCATTCAGTAAGTTTTGTTTCACTACATGAATCATTATATCCTGGAGCAGTAAAGTGGCTGCTTCCTGCTGTATCAATTTCGTTATTATACGTTACATTATACTGATGACAGAGAAGTAATGTGTTCTCACCGGTGTGGGATATTCCTAGCCTGAGTTGAACAATTTAGCAGGGCCCCCTGGACCTGAATCCCAACGTTAAATGCCACTAAGATGTCCTCCAGCGAAGGCTTCTGAGAATATGGTAGTGTGTCCGACAGAGCCAGCAGAGCGGGGAGCACCGGGCTACTGGGATGTGTGGCAGGGTGCCACGTATCGTCAAAATCCATGGCGTGACAACTGGCACCATTAAGATAGGCAGCCATTGCCGTAGATGCTTTCAAGCCACCAGTTCCCCAAACAGAGGCTCTGTGATTGGAATTGAAGCCTTCCGTATATGCCGCAAAATCGCGGTAACTGTTGGCAATTTCTGTTTTCGAGCCAATCATTCCAACGCCGATGATATCCAATATCATACGTTTACTCCTCTTTAATGCCACAGGTGAAATATCTGCTATGCTTAAGTTGGAGATGTGCTCTGACATCCATGTTGTAAGGTTTGCAGCAGGGAGGTTCACTTCTGGACAATGAAAACGATGACTGGTTAAGGACAGAATTGTAAGACTTCTAAATCAAAGACACCACAGAATAAAAACAGAAATATTTACTTGTTGGAACAGCTGAAAATAGACTAACAAACCATTACTAGTTAGGAACAACACAAACTAGACATACAAACCGTCACAGATTAGGATCAACACAAACTAGACATACAAACCGTCACTGGTTAGAGACAACACAAACTAGACATTCAAACCATCACTGGTTAGGAAAAAACAAGACAAACCATCACTGGTTGGGACAACACAAACAAGACATTCAAACCATCACTGGTTAGAGACTACACAAACTAGACATTCAAACCATCACTGGTTAGGGACAAAAAAAACTAGACATACAAACCATCACTGGTTAGGGACAAAAAAATAGACAAACTATCACTGGTTGGGACAACACAAACTAGACAAACCGTCACTGGCTAGAGACAACACAAACTAGACATTCAAACCGTCACTGGTTAGAGACAACACAAACTAGACAAACTATCACTGGTTAGGGACTACACAAACTAGACAGTACTAAAAGTTATAGACAATGAAGATATTGAGATGATGAAATAAGAAATAATTATTGTGTACGTACCTTTGGCAGGGACAACCTGAAAGGAGTATTGCCGCTTAACTTCATCAGTTGCCGGAACGATTACTGTCGAATACTGACGATCATGCACGTGTTTTGTTTCTTTATACGACCGGCTGAGGAGTTGGACTGTTTTTCCCTGAGGGTTCAAAGATTAAAAAATATATATACTAACTGTTTTATCTACGTTAGGAATGTCAAAGTTAAAATATTACATTAGATGTTGAAATGGGTCGTTTTAACAACAGCATGTGCAAAACTGTTTTATTGCAAAAATAAAATACTTTTCTATTATTTATGTTTATGAAGTCAGCTCCTTCACCACAAATTTACAGTGACATATGTTGATTGATTTTTTATGCAGCGCAATAACCACGATCAAGAACAAAATCGAAAACTTCGTCATTACGAAACATACTTGGAAGTTATTATACCAGATCAAAATACACCATATTCTTCACCCACATCACAAGAAAAATCATTGCATTATAAAATATCACACAGACCTGTAAAACTGTAGTACGTGCACCCATCATCCTTTCACGTGTAGACCGATATAAACACACGTGAAAATTGTTGTTTCTCTTCCTTTTATAGAACACTCGCGTACTTAGGTATTCAGTGTCAGACAGTCACGTGATCAGATGGAAATTCCAATCGTTTAGTCCTTTCTACACATTCCTCCCAGCAAGTGTGTCTGGAGCGATATCCTTAGAAACTTGAACAAATCAAAAGGTAACTTTTATTTATAGTGTCTCTAAATCATAATTATATGTATGAGCTAATCTTGTATTTCTCCGATCACTATAAATAATATTAGCTCATTCTTTATTTGAAAAATAAACCAATACGTATATAAACAAAAGTGATGAAAGTGGTAAATTCCGGTTTCTCAGAATTAGGCGGAGCATGGTTGTTAAACTTCTAGTTTGATTGACTGGAAAACCCGGAAGATGTGGTGCGTATCAACCTGTTATTAGTCACCACCAATCAGCCTTTTGTTTTCTGTAACGGCATGGTAAACTTATCAGTATATCAGAATTATAAAAAAGCACACGTCAGCCAAAGACAATCTGGTTCTGATTACACGATGAATATTTTATTAAAGGGAAAGACGAGTTTAAATCTAAAACGTTAACTCTCTCAGAATAACAGTCTGCTTAAGTAAGAAGGGGAGCAACCTCCAAGCGACCTTCAGACGTAAACTTCTTTTGATAGCGAGCAAGTTTATACGACATGAGTATTACTTCAGGTTATTTGAAATAATTAAACTATATCGGCAATTACATTATGCCGAAAAATTAGGGTTTTCAGTGTCTAGTGCACCTTTACTCGATTTCGTTCAAAATCTATTGAAAATTTTGTCTCGCGATAAAACGATGTGAAATGTACGTGCGTTAGATTACCTCCATTCGAAATCTATAAATATTATTAGACGACTGTATATCTTACTTACTGTTTCTTACCCTATCTCAGCTAGCCTTGTAGTTCCTTTCACTCCATCATCCGATGTCGTATTCTTACTTTCGCTTTGACAGATGATGATACTTTAATCCGTTATTATGACTAAACCAACCTTACTTTCGTTTTACCACACTTGTTTATTTATTTATTTATTTATTTTTATTGTATTTTACCAAGAAATGCATATCTGATTAAAATTATTTCACGTATTATGGGACTTGACTCTATTAAATATATTCATCACAATAATGCGCTGTTATTTAATTAATATGGCCATGAGATATATTTTTATAGTTACACATGTGCAATGTATCCTTCTTCTGTGTCAGGTTTAGATAACGAAATGTCACAGACTCACCAACTGCGTTGTGATTGAAGACCATTGATATACAGCCGAACTGACAAGTTTGAGGTGGCAATGTCCGTTTTCTACCTTATTTTGCATAAATTATTGATCATGTGATAAAAAGGATCTTGAACTCGTTTCTTTTTGAAAGGTGATTAATGACACTCGTCACCCTGCTATGTACATCTCAGTTACATTTAAAAATTGAAACAAGTTGATACGAATTAAAAGTAGATCATACGGCTGTTTCGTTCTTCTAGGACTCGTGACTTTAATTTCATAATCATTTTAGTTTGTGATAATTTTAGAAACAATGAAACACATCCTATTTCACTTTATCATACTGTTTTATGTTATCATTAAACACAGTCTACATCACTTTATCATACTGTTTTATGTTATCATTAAACACAGTCTACATCACTTTATCATACTGTTTTATGTTATCATTAAACACAGTCTACTTCACTTGATCATACTGTTTTATGTTATCATTAAACACAGTCTACTTCACTTGATCATACTGTTTTATGTTATCATGAAACACAGTCTATATCACTTTATCATACTGTTTTATGTTATCATTAAACACAGTCTACTTCACTTGATCATACTGTTTTATGTTATCATTAAACACAGTCTACTTCACTTGATCATACTGTTTTATGTTATCATGAAACACAGTCTACTTCACTTGATCATACTGTTTTATGTTATCATTAAACACAGTCTACTTCACTTGATCATACTGTTTTATGTTATCATGAAACACAGTCTACTTCACTTGATCATACTGTTTTATGTTATCATGAAACTCAGTCTATATCACTTGATCATACTGTTTTATGTTATCATTAAACACAGTCTACTTCACTTGATCATACTGTTTTATGTTATCATGAAACACAGTCTACTTCACTTGATCATACTGTTTTATGTTATCATTAAACACAGTCTACATCACTTTATCATACTGTTTTATGTTATCATTAAACACAGTCTACATCACTTTATCATACTGTTTTATGTTATCATTAAACACAGTCTACTTCACTTGATCATACTGTTTTATGTTATCATTAAACACAGTCTACTTCACTTGATCATACTGTTTTATGTTATCATTAAACACAGTCTACATCACTTTATCATACTGTTTTATGTTATCATTAAACACAGTCTACATCACTTTATCATACTGTTTTATGTTATCATTAAACACAGTCTACTTCACTTGATCATACTGTTTTATGTTATCATGAAACACAGTCTACTTCACTTGATCATGCTGTTTTATGTTATCATGAAACACAGTCTATATCACTTTATCATACTGTTTTATGTTATCATTAAACACAGTCTACTTCACTTGATCATACTGTTTTATGTTATCATTAAACACAGTCTACTTCACTTGATCATACTGTTTTATGTTATCATTAAACACAGTCTACTTCACTTGATCATATTGTTTTATGTTATCATTAAACACAGTCTACTTCACTTGATCATACTGTTTTATGTTATCATTAAACACAGTCTACTTCACTTGATCATACTGTTTTATGTTATCATGAAACACAGTCTACATCGCTTTATCATACTGTTTTATGTGATTGTGAGACAATTTTTATTTTCATTTTACATAAATGATATTGGTCAAGAATTACAATCGTTAAGTTATATACTGATGACACATCATGACAAGTTCTAATTGAGGAAAACAGAAAGGATACGGCTGACCTACTTAAAGATGACCCTAGAAAAACTCTGTTTAGACTGAAAGGTGGGAATCATTTTCAATCCAGAAAAAAAACTTAATCACTACTTTTTTTATAGACGGATTGACTCTTAGGTGCTGCATCCTGACCTGTACTTTCACAATTTAATTAAAAATGTAAGCACGTTGGTTTATTTTTAACAGGCATGCTTATTGGTCTAACTATATAAACTATATCTATGAGAAAGCGTTTAAAGTTCTTTGAATGTTAAAACAAAAAAACTGATAGAAAGACTCCTGTGTTCATTCACAGTACATTTGTTCGTCCTATTTAAGAACATGCTGACATAATATGGGTAAATTGAAGAGAGAGAGAATGCAGCATGTTAGAGTCAATCTAAATAGAGACGATACATATAATTACTGGCTTAAGGCCGAGCACTATTCAGGCTGGTTATATAATGAATCTGGCCTTATTCTACCAGTAAAACGAAAACATACACATTAAAATATTCATTTCTTTAATCATTTTAACAATAGATGCCTTCCCCATGTATTTGACTCAATATATCCCTTTACTTATAACAACACTGACCATTGTCCACTTTGATATAATAGACTTTTTGATGTCCCTCGAGCTTGGACCCAGCAATGTTGTTCAAGTTTCTTTCCAAATACTATGTCTGAATTGAAAAGCCCATCTTGTCTGTTTGATTCTTTGGCATCAAAATGTGCTATAAAGAAATCATTTTTACCTCCAGTGACTGATACTGGGAATCAATGTACTGACATTTTGAAATATAATGGAAACAAAAACAGTTAATATAAGTCAACTTAGAAATTTTCTAGTAATTTGAATTCATATTTATATAATTGTGACCAGATTGATAGCCCTGCTTGTAGCTGTGGTCATTCTATTGAGGATTATACACACCATTTCCTCCACTGTTCTCTCTACACCAATCAAAGACAACTCCTCCTTAACATCCTTTCTAAACTAAGCGGTTTATACCACATAATACCCAAATATTTCTTAATGGTTCACATACACGTGATGTCAATACCAACAAATCTACCTTCAGTCTGATTCAGAGATTCATCACTGATACCGGTCTCCTTGTCTTATTTCATCTTACTATAAACCTTGTCCCGGGTTTGGATCCACTCTCCATCCCTGTTTATCAGACACAGAATTGTGTATATATGGACAGTTAGCGTCTGTGTCCGTCTTCATCCTTCAACTGAGCTGGACCTAACCTCGGGACAGCTGCATTAATGGTATTATCATCTTTCAAAGACGTAATATAATAACTGATGGCAGTGCTTCCTTTCCCTTTTTGCATGGTTTTGAAAACGTCTATCATGTGTTATTTGATTCATGTAATTTCCATACCTTTCCTTAAACATGAGTCAGTATATTTGTTTTTATCTTTATAGAGAGGGCTTTTATAGGTTTCACCTGTTGCCTAATTCCACTTGTCTATCTAGAACTTTGGACAATAAAATATTCTGAAATGAAATGAAACACAATCCATCTCACATTAACATACTGTTTATTAATATGTTATCAAGAAACACAGCTTACTGTACTTTGTCATATTGTTTTGATGTTATTATCAAAAACGGATCTGTTCACTTTCTCATATTGTTTAATGAATCGTATTATGAAAAGGAGCCTACTTTCGCTTTACCATACAAATGTTATAATGCCATATTAATCCGATCGTTAAACCTAGCCTATCTTCGCTCGACCATTCTGCGTTATTCTACTTGAGATGTTGAAATCTCTGTCATTTCAGAGTCCTTAAACTACAGGTAAAGTTGTGAGCACAACACACACTACGATGAATCGGACACTGATAAGATTCGGTGATTACAAATGAATTCACTGTCACTATGTAACATACATATTTTGCTGAGAGGTGAGTCATCCTTTCTGCAAACTGCGCAGTGGTAGCTTTAGATAGATTCATGTATTTTCACGACAAAACAAGATAACATTAAAGAGCTTTTAATTATTCGCTTACAATAGAGCCTGCACATAGCTTATCAACA